TGTTGAGACTGAATTCAATATGTGGAAACTGTGCAGACGTCATAGTCGCATGGCTCTCCTGGAGCGGCTTCTGCCAAGAAAATGTCAAATATTGAATTGATTTGGTGCATTTTAACACATAATTTGGGCAAAAACGTATTAAAAAAATTTTAAATTTTACATTCATAATTTGCGTCATTCTCAAGTTTCAAGCAATGATTAGTATTGGTATCCCTTGTGCCTTGCAAAAAAAAATTTTGCTTAATATGCGTGCAAATTGCTGTTTATTATTTTACCATCTATTTTGATAACAAAACGAATATATTTTTTTACCGTAGGCCTACTTGTTTTGCCATTACTGGATTAGGTCTTTTTTTCCGCTGGAAGCCTGTCTGGAATTCTAAGTGAATTTCCATAATAAATGCTTGTCCAGGCTTCAATCATAACAGTGGATAAAATTCAAACAAAAACTGCATCACCCTTTTCGTTATGGTAAACAAAGCTATCGACGAACAATTTCATAAGTATACCATTGCCTCTGAGTGATGCATTACAATTCTATCGTCTTCAGACCGACAGCACGTATATTAATATTAATGATTAGATAAATGGAGTGCAATAAGACCTTTTAAATACAAGAACTAAATATTTATCTTGTGTTGGTTCATAAAATACGCGTTTTATTCAAATTCAAAATGGCGTCATAACAATAAATGTTTTCAAATTGTAGTCTGGTATTTTTTCATAACGTCACGTGATACTTCACCAATACAATAAAGGTTGTATTGACTATCTCCGATCTCGTACATCTCAGCACGTTTTAATAATTATTTGTCTATTTTGACACTATTATATACCCACTTCTAAAAGTCAATATTGGCTTTGTGAATTTAAATTGAAATAAATTGACTGAGTCGCCTCACCAATTATAAAAATTGGTTTGCCCGAACCCCCCACCGCTCAAACTTTTTAACAAATTAAGGTAATAGTTTAAATGTACAGAAAGAATGCCATTTATTTTTCTATTGTTTCAAGCAGTTTTCAGAGAAAGATGGGGTAAGGTAGCTTTGACGAGTCCCGCATCCATCTCACTGAATATTAGTTTCCGTTTTTCATGCTGTAGTACTATTCTTTGTACGATACTATTTGTAGTGTTTGTGATCGGTGTGGTGCAAGGAAGGGGATGCTTACTCTTCTAGACCCTGCTACCACTTTTCATTATGAAGTACTTACGCACGTATGATTGATATGCATGTACTTCATCATGCAGAGTTCATTAGCCGATACCAATGTGTCGCCAATATGTTGTATGAATTTAAGGTTTCGTTTTGCGTTTCGGGCGTAAGTACTTGGTTTATTTAATTTGACTATTTTACCAAAATTAAGAACACAACGTTATTACAGCCTCATAAGCGAAATGACCTTCCTTTTCGCCCACTGAATCAAGGCCTTGTGGTGGTTCTGCGTTTTCATCACAATTTTGTACTCGTTACAGGAAATAGATGTATTTGACGCAATAAAAATATTGAAAAACCGAACAAATCCAGTCATATATCACGCTATAATTTCGTATTTTTGATTTTTCTTCTTGGATTTATTTTAAAGTTAGTTTTTAGTGAGGTTATTTCTTTTTAATAGTTTTTCTTAACTGTAAGTTAGTTGACTATTCAGGTCGGCACTTCTCACCAGCCGGATTGAATTTGACCTGGGTGTTAAAACACAATTTCTAATTGATCGGGTACAATAGAGTTAATATATTCCCGCCTTTTTGATTCGACGTCTGCTCCTTGTTTGTTTTTCACTTGAAGTGTTATTTTGTGTAATTAGTAATACCAATTAACCAAATGAACTTCAAGAAAACACCCCAGGTAAAAAATGACCTATCCTGCTTGGTAAGAAGAGAATGCGAATAACTTTTCGGTGTACTGCCGGCGGGTTGTCCATGTAGGTCATTTTCTAGACCTGGGACCTTATTCTGGAAAAATTAATATGATTTTATTGTTTCAATCATCTGATTGGTCAATCACTAAAATTGAATAATTATTTTTTATCTGATCAGATTACTATATTTCCTAAAATCTGAATTTTTTAAGTTTTCGAGCATAAGGTCGCCGAGATGAAAATTGCCGCCAGCTGCTCATGTTGTACTCTGTTGTCAAATTTGCAACCTATCGTCAACCGGAGGTTTCGAAATCTGCGTCAATCTGGTGGTAATAGGCGGTCAATTGCTCGATATGAGCGTTAAGATCGAGTTTTATCAACTGTATAAGATTCTCCGTTCACCATGATTTAGTATTATTGTTCGCCTTGGTTCAACACTAGAAATTCGTGTATGAAAATCTTTGCTTAACTCTCGACTCCTTTCAAGTGTCAGTTAAGATGTGTAATTAAACAGTCAACAAATCGTGGGAGGTCTTACCCCTTTTTACTGTTATCGTTTTGTTAAAAAAGTGTTGATATGCAATGAAATTGATTTCTAGTTCTACCATTCTGACCGATCGAAGGTTCATACAGTGTGTATTTGGTACATTCTGTCCGGACAGTACATATCTTTGCGGTCATGCAACAATACCTAGGGGATTGGGAACTGGGCGTCCTGAAGTTCCATGAACAAAATTCTAATGATAATATACAGAAAACGTTGAAATAAGCTAAACTTAACAGGAATCCGCGACTTCCTCCATTTAAAGTAATTCGTCTATTTTTCTGAGCAGTGATATTGTTTTCATATTATCAAATAAAACTATTACAAATTTGGTTGAATGGATTAAAATATCTCTACTTAGGAAATGACTATACAAGCATGTAAAAATTTCCCATTATCTTCAGCTGATATTTTTCATGTCCTATTTTTTTTATTGCTTACTGGGATCCCTGACTTTACCAAAATATAACATTTAATATAATTCACCATTTGTGTCCAGTGTTTTCTTACATAACAACAGTGCACCTTTGACTATCATATGAACAACATTAAAAGTATTCAAGGGAGGTTCCTCGACCATGATTAATTATAATGCCGAGCACCCAATGATGACATTTTTAATATTAATATTCATTTTTATTCGTTTTACCTTTAGAAGAAAAATGACAATTTACTGCCAAGCAGTTTGCTGTCCATCATATTTTTATGCCTATGTTCCACAATTTTTACACCTTTTTCTCTTTAAAATACACCTAGCAATGTACTTGTATAACGAAGTAAAGACATTCGACTGTTTTGTCGTGTTTAGGGGCGAACATATCGTTGACGAAAACTACCTTGACTTGTAAAGTATAAGTTTCTACAAGTGTTACTTGTTAGCTAGGTGTTAAAAATATCAACTTTTGTCTGAGTATTTCAATCAACATTTTAACAAGAATTATAAATTAAAGATTGTAGACAGAAACTCAGATGTACGCTCTTCAAAATTTCTTTCCCATAGTCTCTGAAAAATACTTTTGTGTGAAATTCGTCAAACTTTTTAAAGCGATACTCGATGACTTTCTGGTAGAAAAAGGATACCTCATATTATACGCTGCTGTTATTATAATGACAAGGGAAAGAAAATTTACGATTTTGCTCTGAAGCTATAGAGGCAATTATCAAGGAAATGATTTTTGTGAATTTGCAATTGTTGAGAGATCTTTAACGAGCGCAGTCTGTAAAACCCTCGATTTCTTGTTCGGTGTCTGTGACTGACTAGACGCTATTAAAACCATCCAACCTGCTTCATCGGGTTGACAAATCCAACAGTGTTGAAGGCTTGGATTCAGGTTAGCAAGGAAGTACCTGGCAGGCCATATACCGCTTCTTAAATCGGAAATTGTACCCACCCAATTTTAGGAATGAAATGGTTCCAATTTTCCAATTTTTCTAGTTTAATCAAATAAGCATGGAAACACATAGCTACAGAGAACAGTGCTGGCTCAATCTCAGTTCTCTATGATGACCGACACAATGGTGTGTCCTCATTTAATCTTGTATTGTTTCTTTACCGGGACACAAGGCCTTTGACCCAGTCCGATTAAAACGCACAAGCAAAAATGAAATGAATGGAGTTTTACGTCCTACAATTCTGCACCATGTAGAAAATATGAAGTATATGTAATACTGATCGATATTAAAGGATGTCGACTATACGTTTTAAAGAAATCAGCCAAGATTTTAAAGAGGTTTCCATTGAATTCACTTGTCTGAAGTAAGACAAACTTCACATAGTGAAACGTTTTGTACTGCAAAAGTGTTGCTCATCCTAGTACTGAGTAAGTACAAAAATGTTCAGATCACACTTTTAAGTTCAGATACACTTGGAATCCAAAATGAAGATTTGTAAGCGCAAGTAGACTTGACCCTGCGTTCGATTGTAAGAAATGTACTCTACTTGTTTCTCAATTTAAATTGCACTTTAGACCGATCTTAATTTATAACTATACAACACACAGTAAACATCTTAAGAAATCGAAAATTTGTTCATCCGTTTCGATTCGGAAATAAGAAATATTAGATTTATCTTGAGCAATACAATAAACATAAGTTTGTTTAATTTGTACTTCTTATATGTTTATATAAACTTGGTCATAAAATGTAAATTGCCAAATGTGTATCGCTATTTGTAATCTTATGGTGTATATATAAATTTAAGCATGTATGACACGCATGACAAAAAGTATGAATCTTTTAAAGGATAGGATCGCTATCGGTTTAACTAATCATACTTCGGTTTCAGAAAAGGGATTTTTTTTTTTAGCTAAGCTCATTAATAATGGTGTTAACAGCTCGCCTTTTTCGCGACTCAGACATACATAGAATAAACACATATATATAAATAGAAAGTGAAATTTCTAGTTTGAGGTGATGTAGGTTAGGACGTGGGAAAGAGAGTGGGTGAAAGTGTGAAAAGGTTGTGGACGCTCAAAAATCATCAAAGGGCTACCAAACCCCGGACTCAAAGAGAAACACCTCTAACGTCTGTAGCTAATCTATAATGGCAAAGACGATAAGTAATCTATTTTCAAATATCAATGTTTTCTACTTCCAGGTCTGGTTCCAGAATAGAAGAGCCAAATGGAGGAAGAAAGAGAAAGTCGGAACTCAGGGTCATCCTTACAGCCCATACTCAGGAACATTAAACCTAGCAGCTCGTGGTGTTCTCGGAGCATCAGCTTCTCAAACCTACTCAGATCTCCTACTCAAAACATACGAGAGTCAGTTGTTCAATCGATATAGTCTGGGATCACCCCTCGCGTCGTTATCACCAGCGTTTTATTCGCCGATGTCGTTAGGTTTGCCGTCTGCTACGCCCGGACTAGGACTTCGTGGGTTATCTCCACTAGCAGTACCTATGCCGCCACCTGGGACATTTCAACACTTGTTAGCAAGTATGACGTCGTCTGCAGCCAAAGCGCGGGAAAATTTTGATATGAGCCCGCCATTACCGAACATGCCATCGCCACCTAACGGAGGAATTGTGGATACCGAAAGACGCTCGTCAAGTATTGCCAATCTAAGACTGAAAGCCCGTGAGCATGAAATGAGATTGGGTATGAACGGAAATATTGTATACTGAAAATCGAACACGTATTAAACCTTTTGTTGAGTTTGAAATGGGAACAATGAACGACTCCATTACTGTTGCGTTATTCTTATTGAGGAATTTCAAATGGTACTCTGATCACAACTTGCAGTGCGGTCACATTTGTAAACACTCAGTTATCGACAACTTCAGCAACCCCAGTTTGCTGAGGGAAAAAATAACCTGTCTCATGAAGGTCTAATCCCAGCTCATGTTATGAAAAATTCTGCAAAGAGAACATATTGTTTTGTATTAGTGTTATATAATATATTCTACCTCTTAGAATGGACATACAATTTAAAGTCAACTTGTATTTCATTCACCAGTTGGACTTACCGGGTGTCATGACTAAAGAATGTAATCTCTAAATAATACGATATGTCCATTAAATAATTATTTAAACAGTTTTCAAAATGTCTTAATTAAATCAATAATTACTTGGTTTAGGGGTTTAACGTATTATAGAGAGATTCTGGTGTACAGTTATGATACCAGGTAAGACCACCAAAAAACAAAGACTCGAGTTTAAAACTTTCAATTTTGTGGTCATCCTATGAGGTAGAAAACCTTTAAAAAATGAAACCTATAATTTGTCTCAATTGGGTCATTTTTATACTCTAAATTTTATGGTGTGAGTTAGTGTAACGTCCTTTTCTATGGTAGGACTTCTGCTGGACATGGTCAGATTTCACTTGTCACAGACGGTTTCAGGGATGATTAATCTATAGGGTTTGGTGTTAAATGTTAATAATTCTTTTAATTAGATTAATGCAATAGACTTTGATGTATATTATCTGAAAAACAATATTCCTACTGTGTATTTGGAAACAACACTGAAAGTGCATATGCTTGTCCAACTATCTTTAAAAATCCCATTCATATCTAAGCCTGTATTGTATTGTTTTATTGCCTTATACAAGGTACATAAGCATTTAAAAATAGTATAACGTAAAACAACCCTGTGAACTTTCGTTCCGTTTTTTATTTTTAATTTAGTCACTTCAGTTAAATAAAAAAATAAACGCTTATAAAAAAGAAAGAATGAGGTATTAATTAGACTGCTGTGTTCAGATTGCAAAACTCAGTTAGCAGCGGTGTGTTTCGTATAAGTTACAGGGGCATTGTTTTTTTTTTGTATTTCGTTATTTTTAACGCCATATCTATTTTAAAAAAATTTAACTTAAGTTTGCTTGGTTAGTACTTTTCCTTTTTAATTAACCCCTTTTAAAACAAATTCAGTTTGATCAAGACGATCCATGGATATAAATAGCATACTTTAGAAATATTTCAGATATAATTTCCGACGTTTTTGATAACGAAAATATTGCATACCGATGGGTTGATGAAGGAATCACCAAGCATTTTCTTAAAAAAAATAACTGTGACGCTAACCGACGACTGAACGCAGGTCTAGTTCTGCAGTTGTGCAAACAGGCGTTGTTCTACCATATGAAAAATCCAAAAAGTTGAAGGCGAAATATATTGTTACATATTTTGGAAGTTATCCCAGTCCAACCACCTGACGATAGACGTATAGTGCTGTAAATGTACATGATCTGATGTATATGAAAAAATGATTATTCGTATTTATTTAATATATTGTAAAATATAAAAACTACTATTATTGTGTGAAATCCCCCATGTGTAATGTTTTGTGCCAACATTAAAATCATTCTCTATATTTTGTTTTCTTTTATCCAGAAAAAATTCACACTTAGTCGACAGGCTCCAGAGACTGGATTTCGGGGAAGGGAGGGTTTGATTCTCCCAAATGTAAAGGCCTAGGGTGGGGCAGACACTTTATTTAGAAATTAGGATTAAGGGTCTTGATATTGGGTTTTCCTCTATTCTGATTCTGATCTGAAATTAGAAAAAATAACTCGTTCGATGGGCGAGAAGTATAGTATCTGTTATGTACTGATTGTTTTTAGTTTACTATGAACAATATTATCATTTATGTTCTTATTTTTTGAATAATATGCAACTATCATTTTCTGTTTATAGACGGGGGAATTTCTCTTGAAGGCTCTTATAGTGGGCATGAACTATCTTGCTTGCTCGATTGCTGGTTGTATTGAACGGGACAACAAAGGGTGCTTTGCCTACATTATGGTGAATATTTAGTCCTATAGGTCTTGCTGTATTCAATGTCTCAATCCAATGGGCTTCCCTAGATTGACGGAATTTGGTAGTTTCATCTTCAAGCAAGTCAATTTCTATGCGCTCAATTGGGATTAGAGATCGTCTATTGAATGGTCGTCGAGGTTGAAATGATTAGAAACAGGCTTGTCTTTAATTTGATATCCGACCTATGTGCATTAAAACGAGTTCGTAAATTATTCTTAGTTTCTCCTACATATTGTTTGGGGCATTTCTTGCATGAAAAAACGAAGAATATAGTCAAATGAATATAGTCAAATACTACTGAATATGTCAGCATGCACCGAAATGCCATGGATTAAGTTATTTTTGGCGTCGTATGTTAATCTGCGATTGTCTTTGTTCTTCCGTCGGCCATAAACTGAATGTGCCTGGATAGAAAATTGCGATAAGTTATATACTTTCTTGTACCATACTTCCTCACTTCACCTGAAGATGACAATGTAGATTGTTAAAACGTCGTGTGTAATAAAACTAAGGAGGAGTAGTATACCATAAAATTGTGTTTGTTATCTAATGTGATCTCTACCACTAAATGTCGCTAAAGGATTATGATAAGTCGATTAGTTTTTAAGGGAAATTTCTCGCAGAGAGTAGCATAACGTTACATTTTCATACGCCCACATCTCTCTATGTGGACGTATATTGTCGGCACCCCTGTCCGTCCGTCCGTCAACATTTGCATGTAAACGTTCTAAAAACTAGATTTTGTGATGGAATCAAATGAAATTAGGTAAGTATACACATATTCATAAAACGAAGATCAAGTTCGAATTTGAGCTATTTTCGACCGTTAGAAGAAGAGTTATTGCCCTTGCTCCAAAATCTTGAATATTTACCATCCACATGCCGTGGTGGGCGTATATGGCAGTGGTCCACTATCTTTATCAATGCAATAATATCAATAAAACTTGTTTAGTCTAACGAAGGTCGCTGCAAATTGTACAAAGTTTAAATATGACTTTATGGGAATTATTTCTCGAATTAAGAAATTTATTTTTAAACAGAAAAATACAAAGATAAAGAGCTGTAGGCAATATCTTTTGTTCCCATTGCTGTAGAATCAATTAGGCCGTATTCTCTCAATAATGTACAAATATATCGTACAGCAAATTATTTCAAGAGTTTTTCAATTAAGCAATTATATTCTTTCTTGAAGATTCAATTAAGCTTTTTATCATTTTTCGATGAAATTAACTATTAACACAATGCTATAAAATCTAATTTTCCTTACAGCTTTTCTTAAAGGATAAGCACCCATTAATATTTTGCTTAACTAAAAGAATACAAAAAGTCTTAGTCTATAGTCTTAATTGAATTTTAAAGTGGTTGTATAGTGGTTTTATAGCAGCTGCGGTTCCAGCCTCATGAAAATAGAGTACAAATAGAGGTGGGGGGGGGGGGGGGGCAGTCTGACACATATATTGGGACAAAACCGTATAAAAAGCATATTTGAAAATTTCTGAGATAGAATCTGGCGGCTTCAAACAATTTTTCTTTTCTTCTTTTCTACTATCACGATTGGCATCCAAATCAGATATGAAAATCACGATGTGTCCACGATTTAGACATGATTCATTCGTTCCTCGAATTTTGATAGTGGGAACCTAGCATATATAGAACACAACGTTAATACTTTATTCGTAGTTGAATATAATATAAAAGATATTGCTATGAAATAAAATCTATCTTGAGGCTGACAAAGGGGGGAAATAATTTCCGTCTCATAAAAGCGGATAGCTGAACAAAGACTTATCTGATGTAACTGACAGAGGGAGAACACTACAAGTCTAGACAGTTTCATAAAAGCGTTCACTTGAACACAGGCCTAGCTATCTGATGTGGCTGACAGAGGGAGAACACTACAATTCTAGACAGTTTCATAAAAGCGTTGAACTGATCAACTGAACACAGGCCTAGCTATCTGATGTGGCTAGATAGAGGGTGTAAAAGACAATTCCCAATAGGTTCATAAAAGCGTATATCTGAACACCTGGCTTCTTTATGCTGACAGAGGAAGCCCAAGGCAACTTTCATTAAAGCGTACGACTGAACGGGGGCTAACTAGTGCGGCTTCTTCATTTCATAAAAGCGTACAACTAGGCACAGGACCATCTGGTATGAATACTCTATGCAGTGAAAAAGATTAATTTACCACTCTTTTTTTCAGAATTGTTAATCAAAAACCTAATTCTTAGAACAAAGTTCAGTGTCGAAACGTCAACAGTTCATTTTTCTTAATGCGGCCTTCTCAAAATTTACATTGGGATTAAAGTTGACTTAATTCATGGACCAAATAAAGAAATTGATTGAAAAGGCAAAATTTGGCATCAGTTTTGGGTTAAAGT